CCCCCCCCTCCCACAAACCTTTTTGGTGCTCCAGCTTCAAATAGGGACTGAATGCGCTGTAGCTGCCTCCACTGTTCCTGTACAGACAGCAGAACAGTTCATCCAAAACCTCCTCCTTTACCTTGACGGTGAACTGAACCTCCCCAGCACCGGACTGCAGCTCCTGAGAGTCCACCTACAAGAATGAAATGAAGAAAAGTAAAAAAACAAAACATCAGGAGCCCGATGATAACAAAACACACACTATAAACAATCATCCACATTCCCAAAAATCAAATTACCATCTCTCTGAATCTGTATAACATGACGATAACCCCATGATGGCCGTGTGGGACCTCACAGGTCAGGACCACTGAGTCCTTTGACCTCAGATAGATGTCCAGGGCAGGAGCTGGAAGACTGGCAGGGGAAGTGGAAGTAGAAAGTTGTGCTACAGACATGATAGAGAGAGGTTTAAATCATACAGCAGGAGTCCAATGAGTGTCACAAATTACATTTCAGATGAGCACCAGAAGAAAGAATTCAATAGAGGATATGATCTCAATGGAAAAAAGACATTTCAAAATAAAGATGTAGCCTGTAATTCCAATATTAGATTTATTTTCAACAGGGGGAAGAGTTTGTTTTCATGATTATACATTTTATACCAAATATTTTTGTCTTATTTCTAGCCATAAAAGGCAATGATGTCAAGATTGATTGTAGAAACACCTGAAGTGTGAGTCTTACCCTCTGTGATGCAAAGTTGTAGAGAAATAAAAATCAGAGTGTAAATCCAAAGTGTTCGTCCTCGACTAACAACCTGCATCTTTGTCTCAAGAAGAAGAAGAAGGCTGACTGAAAATATGATAGCAGCAATGTGCAAACACATGGACCTCACTCTCTTTCTCTCTCTCTTCCTCTCTCTCTGTTTATGACATCCTCTTGAAGACAGAGCGATGGGGGAAGTCAGATCTGTAAACACACTTCCTTATGGGGCCAGCTGGTCAGATGTATGCTTATGATGAAAATAGCAGCCTGCTAAACCACATGTGAAAAAAAATCAGTTTCAGTATGTTTAACAGAAACATAGAAAGGCCAGTAGTAATGTCAGTTATTGGAATGTTATGTGCTTGATGATAAACAGTTTCGGAAATTCTCCTCATCTTTTTTCAATGAATTTAGTTTATGCTGTAATTCATCGTCAGGAGGATTTTACCCTTTCACATGACATTTATTCATTTCTTGGAATTATTATAACATGTGCACTTTTAGGATTTCATTTTCTATGATGTGGTAAAAATGGGGGGGAAATAAAAATAGATGATTACACGCATCCGGTCATAATGGCAATTTATATTTGCTTGTTATGTTTTATTTATCATTTTATTCTTTTGTTACTTGTGTGAAAATGCAGATGACGGAGAGAGAAAAAGGGGAAAGTAGATAATAGTGACCAAGAATTAGGTCAGCGTTCAACTGAACAAGATGTTTACAAACTGTCTCCACAAATCCAAACTTGAGTTTGTGCAAGTGGAGGTTAAAAACCCACAGGACAATAATAAATGTGATGTATTTCAAATCGGTAAATATTCCTAAACATGATGAGGTCAAAGATTTATATCACTTTGAATAGACTCATAACTCTTTATCGAGTGATCAAAAGGAAAAGTAGGTTTACTTCAGAGGTAGTAAATCTAACCATAAAGTATTCAACAGCAAGTCCTTGACATTACCCTGCAGCCGTCACCTTTTCTTTAAGAGCCACCTTTTAAAAAGTGAAGATGAAACACTGCGACATTTGAAAACCTTTAAAAACACATCAACTGCATTTCAGAGCTCAGGATTTTTTTTTATATGAAAGTAGATTTAACAGGAACCTTTTTGTTGCTTCTTGGAGAATCACTAAGGAAGACATTACCCAACAGTGACTGGGAATTATATTTTGTTATATTTTTGAGGAACAAGATGAGTTGTTAAAATCTAAAAATCCAACCACTGTTTTTCATATAATGAACATTTGCAGGAGGCTGAGTTGATTTCCCTTGTGTACTTTTCTGTAATACATGGCAGAGTTGGCACTACAAAACATACTGGTGCCCCATAACACACTAGTTTCAAATGAATCTGAGAACCAGTCAATACAGGCATCAGAGTCACTCTTCAGATAAAGATGTACAGCACTAATACAGATGAGTATCTATCCTGCTATCACCATACAAGTACAAGACAAAAAATCCTATCTCTATCTCTATCTCTATATTTGTAAAGTTGATTTCTCCAAGGAGTGAGCCTCCTAAGCACAAAGTGTGAAGGTTTTGGCCAAGTAAGAAGCTCATAAATGCCAGGATGCCACCAACACCAGACAGTCAAACAGCCAAATATGAAACCTCAGTCAGTTAGGAGTCTCACATTCAGACTTTTCTCTTTCTGAAAGATTGGAAATATCTTTAAATCCCCATGTGGGGCAATTTGCTGTACAGTTTTGTTTCATCCTGTCTAACTGACATCTGTCTTCCCGGACCAAAATGTGGGCACTGCTGTCTTCAAATGAACTTCCCTCTTCCTTAAGATGTGGGTGGACTGCTGAGTCCTGACCTGAGGAGCTGGCTGTGCTGTGCCATTTGTTTATGAAAGAGTTGTTTAGTTTCCTGCAATGTAACGACCCTGCAAGTTAAAGGTTCAGTGTGTAGAATTGAGTGACATCTAGTGGTGAAGTGTCATGTTGCAGCTGCATACCCCTCAGCTCACCCTCCCCTTCCAAACATGAGAGAGAACCTGTGGCAGACTTCTGTTGTCATAAAAACTCAAAAGATGTTTAGTTTGTCCAGTTTGGACGACTTTAAAAAAAACTTGATGGCGTACGGAGAGAGGACCCCCTCCCCATGTAAAAATAGAGTATTTAAATCTAAAGATAAAGAAAACAGCAGTCCACAAAATTTAGATGAAACACATTAGTAAAACATCACTAGGATTTTTTCATACCAAATTTCTGCCAATAGATTTTATTTTACCTAAATCTTACATAAGGCAGCTTTAAATACCTGGGTCAGTGAAGGAGCCTCATGGATGAGAGGTTCAGGAAAATCAACTAAAGTATTAGTCCTTCTTTTCTTCCCACCTCGGAGCATATTACAGGTTATATATCGTAAGTCTACAGTATTTCTGACTTTTCCTCTTCCTCAACTCTGTGGAATATTCTGAGCATCATCGGTTTCCATAGCAATGACACACACTTGCAGAGGCGTGTTCCCATCTTCTTCCGGTTCTTCCTGTCAATCACTCAGCATCACTCCTCCTCCTCCTCCCCTCGCTCTCAGCAGCAGCAGCCGCGAGCTCCAGTGTGACACGCGCACAGCCAGCACGCGGGCTCCAACCAAAACAAGCCCTCAAACCCATGAAGACATGGACGAAGAGTGGAACCGGGAGCATCTGCTGACATTAGTGAGGAAACTCCGAGAGGTGTTCGACGTGTGTGACGAGGACGCGGACGGGTTCATTCGCCCTGAGCACTTGGTGCAGCTGGGATCTCAGTTTGGACAAGAAGAACAGGTGAGTACATGGACACGATGAAGGTGCTGCTGAATAACACCAAGGATAGTCTCACCCCTTCTCTGAGACTTCATGAGCTTCTGTGATGAGGTGTGTCACCAGTTGGGCGAGTTAGGTGCAAACTTTTCAGCCTTTTGTAACTTTTGAGTCTTCACAGTCTACACTTGTAATAGTCTGGGAAACCGTGGAGCCGCTTAAATAGAGTGAAGTCCTGTACTGCATGTGCTTACTGGAGTGGGGGGTGTGGACTTTGTTTTTAACTTGTAACCTTGGTGTTTATGACTTATTGTCCTGAGGCCCTTGTCTGGCCATGCTCCTTTTTAAATGATTCTTCATCTTATATATCATATATCTTATATATCATCAGTATTCACCTCAACTGTTTATAATCTGTATGTATTAATACGCTACAATATCCATTTATCTGCTGCTTACCTGGTCCTGTACAGACATTCTTCATTCTCTTTAACTGACAAACTGTCTGTCAAATAGTTGACAGACAATCTGCTCCTGAGTGAAGGTTGTGGTTTTAAACTATATTTAGCCATGTCTTACACCTCCTCAATGTGCTTTCACAATGTATAAGTGTTATATTTATATACATATATTGAACTTTTATTATATTCCTGTTGGTTATCATAGTAAAGTTCTGTGTCTATTGTGTCTATTGCACTTTAAAGTCTAGAAGGATTTAAAGGATCTGACTTTAAAGACACTGTTTTCCTGCCAACTGCAAAATTATCTTCTATTACAGAAGGTATACTCACAGGCTTTCACTTTGGCTTTCACTTTTCGATTTCAAAAAATGCTTGAGTCTTACACTTTTAGTTATGTATTGACACTTAAGAGGCTAACTGAGTAGAGCTGAGCTGGACCATACTGTTGAAGTGGAGGTTCCCTAATTAAAGACTTCCTGGTTGGAGCCAAAGCCGAAGTTTTTGTTCTTACAGTAATTTAACAGAGGGAACACTGACAGGTCCAGTAAAACAGGCTGATGCTCCTTTACCTGTGGGACCTGGGACAATAAATGTGACATGAAATAGTCAAGTTTAACTGTGCAGGAAATACTGCTCACTCTGAGAAGTGGCAATATTAATATTAACAGCGTTTATTTGCTGTGCTCGACATCTGAGAAATTACATCCCTGAACAAATGTGTTAATCATTTGCAAACCACTGATACAAGAGAAGCTGAAGTATAAACAGATGAGCAAAATGCAATGTGAAAAGTGTAAATTGTTTCAGGGAACGAATGCAACATACTGAGGACTAGAAATTGATTGATGGTGTCCATGCTGATTGCTCATAGTTGCAGTATCAGTATAGGTAAGTGTTGACTGATAAGTAACAAGAAATTACAGGAAGGAAATGGAAAAGATAAAATATTGAAGTGATTTATAATTTGCATTTATTTTATGCTGTAGTTTTTCCTCCATATGGACTAAGATATATGTCAGTATATATCTGGTCACAGTTCTTTAGCACATTTAATAGATTTCTCTTAAAAATGTTTGTTTATACTACATGTTAAAATTAAAATACTATCGGACCTTCATAAGAGGTTCTAGACATTGGTGTCAGTAAAAGAACAGATTAGCCTTTTTCTGCTACTGTTGTTGAGGAGCCCTTGAGCAAGCTTCTCAATTAATAAAACAAGTTTTAGAGCAGTTTTTAAGAAAAACCTCTGTTTATACAATACTTAGGTTTTAGTGCTTTTAAATTGCACCTCAGGTCCTAACAGGTTAAATACTCTTTACCTTTTTATTATAAGTTTTTATTATTATTGTTTCATCATATAAAACCCATGGCAACAAAAAGTAGAATATTCTGTAAACCATTCGACTCAAAGCTTTGTGTGAGATGAATAAGGGATATTGTTTTATCTTTAGTTGGGTTTTGTGTCATGGTGGACGTCCCTGTGGCCTCTTGTGTCCCGCTGCTCGTCAGGGTGGTTGAACATTGCCTCTGATTGGCTCCCCGGTGGTGTGGTGCTCATCAGCGGGAACATTGTGGAGGCACTGATTAGCTCATGGGGGAAGCTTTTCACTGACCTGGGAAATCGCTTCATTGGATAAAGTAACTGTAATTTTGTTCTCACTGACCCACATGTTACTGGATCCTGTAGAGTACAATGCAGTACATGTTTACTTTGGGCTGCCATCATCAAACCAGTATTTAAATATGGCAGTTTTGTTATTGTGCTCCAAGTATAATACTGAGTGTGACGCACTGAAAGTGATTTACACAAAAAAATAAATGTCATTATGATCACATGACCTAAATAAGATGGTATGAAGAGGAGTATGTATTTTGTAATTGGTGGATCACAAACTGTTTCCCCTGCATGTGTTGTCCTCCCGTGTC